TCTATAACGATGCATGCCTTTTGAATTATATCATATTAACCGAAAGACTAAGTAAATATTCATATATAGATATTTTGCACAAGTCACAATTAGATTAGAATATATGTGACACTGTCCACGTTAAACTGTAACGGCAAAACTAGAATTTATTTATCCCTTTCAAATTAAACAAAAAGCTGAATTATCAAATGTTATTTCTGCGAGAGAAAAAAATAAATCGTAATGTATGGAAATATCGAAATGATAGCCTAGGCTAAATAATAATAACTCAACTATGAAACAACTAAACAAACAAATGTAGTGTTTTAGTCCGAGTCTGACAGGAGTTACCGTGTGTCTGTGAGTCCAGCTCTCCGTAGTCAGGCTTCTTGTTCGTGAGGTGTTTCTTCACCAGGAAAGATCTTGGCATCGTATTTTGGGTCTTTATTAAGGGAAACTGGGTTTGCCTTCAGGCCACGAGCACGAGCTTTACGCGGGAGATGTGGAGTGTGGAATAAATAGCTGATGTTTAAAGGCTGATCTTTGCGCCACATTCTCGAGTAAAGAAGAGAAGAGAGAGTCAGGTGCAGAAAGAGCTAGACGGACAGCTGGATCAACCAATCAGAATGGGAGGACAAGTGTAAGTGGGCGGGGCCAAGCGTGTCGCGACATTCCGCAGCGAACAGGTGCACGCGCGCGATCAAAACAACACGAAACATGACATTTTCCCCATCACTGCTCACTCTGTATTAGACAATCGTTGAGGAAAAGATCGAAAGCAATAGTTTAGACACAACGTTACAAATTCAATGCTAAAAATGTGGTGAATTATTTAATGTAGGCTAGTCCATGATGAAATAAAATAGGCTAATGATAATATCTCGCTTTGTTGTAATGTTTTATCCCAACAACAGAAATGCTTCACTGAAACGTCGATGATCTGCTTGAAATTTAAAGTTAAAAAAAGAAGACTTAATATAAATAGGCTACAAATAAGCGCTTAATGCATTTTGCTTTATCAGTTGCAAATAGAGACCATGATAACAATTTCTTTAAAGAGTTTATTATTATTATTTATTGTTTATAATAATTTATTTAACTCGCACCTCATTATACAGGTTGTTTTTTCACAAGAGAGACAATATTGTAAGCATATTAAGAACTTTAGTAACTCTACTTCTCAAAACTCTCAAACTTGTAGCCTAATCTTCCAATAATGCTAAAAACACACTAGCACTGATCTTGAACCTATCCACTGCTGAATGGGGTTGTGCAGGAATTTACTGTAGAAAACATTTTTTTGTTTGTTTTTCAAAATAATTACGCTCCCCAATCACATCTTTAAAGTAGCCTACACTGTTTAAATTGAGCTTTATTTCACACAAATTCAATTGCAAATAAAATAGTTATTGGAAATAATTATTTGGAATAATTGGAAATAATTTATAGAAATTCATAAAACAGCTCGAAAAACTTTACAGACTGAGTGTGTGCGTGCGCGCGCGCGTCTGTGTGTGTGGGATATGAGAGAGCGTGCGTGCGTGTGTGTATGTGATTCTGGTCATTATGCAACCAGTGGAAATGGGTTTAACAGATCAGAATCCATGTGGACCATGTAAAGAAGCAAATAGTCTTTTTTCCCCCCTCAATTTATGAGGTTGAGTCTAAGTATGCCATGTCGCCATCTAGTGTGCGATTGGTGTACTCACATCTATTTTTTAGGTTTTAATTTATTTCAACAATTTATTTAAGGGATAACTCATCCCTATAAAATACAGTCATCATCGTGTAGTTTTTAATCTGATATGATTTTCTTCCATGCATAGAGAATCACAGACTTGCATTCACTTAATTAAGAAAAGATGTGACGAAGAAAAAGTACCACCTTGTGTTGTTCCCATGGACTGTAAAAGGTTGTTCCCTGGAAGAGACAGATTGTACGAGCAAAACACTTGACGTGTGTCCGCCAAACCTTTGCTAGCAAGAACAAACTAAAAGCATATGTAACGGATCTTGTCGCTGTCATGACTGGATCTGGTCTCTCGCTCGTATTCTGCGTTTTGATTTAACCAATTTCGCTCATTCGTTCTTCATGCACTCAGATGAACAGCAGTCAGTGGGCTCAATTTCTCAATAAATTGCAAGGACACATCGTTTTTTGTTGATTGGTATTTACTGAAAAGTGAAATAAAACATCCTCTCAGTGGTGTTTTGCTGCAGACATAACATGTATCAACAGCTCGCGTTCCCCATAGCAACTGTTGAGTTACACTAACAGTATAACCAATAATAGAACATAACACATGACCACATTTCGTATGAAACATGATGCAATAATAAAAACAAAAGCAATAATAAACACAAAAATATACATAAAAACATACCTGAAAAGTGAAATAAAACATCCTCTCAGTGGTGTTTTGCTGCAGACATAACATGTAATCTAAATAAAATATAAGATAAAATTAGCAACCTCGTGCGCTTGCTAACGAGAGCACTATCGGACGGAAGTTCACAAAGGCCATAACTAATCAAATATATGTTACTACTTGAATTAAATGATTTAAACATTGGCTAAACCAAATCACAAACAAAATATTTGAAATCGCTAGTCATTTTGCGTCATAATCGCACAAATATTGCCAAAATGAGACAGAGCATGACCATACGCACCAACAGCTCGCGTTCCCCATAGCAACTGTTGAGTTACCCTATTTACCGTCAAACCACGCATTTTTGTCTGCAGCTCCCAAACAAACCACATGAGGGCACTATTTTAACATGAAATGAATAACTGCTGTTGAATTCAGGAGGATTCACAATAAAACTAAATACAAATCTAACTCTGTTACACATGAAAAATAACATTGATATTTAATGTTTACAGTTTTTGAATGTTCTTATCTTAAGGCATCATTGTTTTACACTGGACAGAATAAATCTGTAGAAATTAAAAGGCCGCAAAGTTATGTTAGTGTACTGTAGCTATTATTTAGTACAATTGACCATATTGTGCTTTTTGTTTCACGTTTACTCCATGCCCCGTTCACACCGCCAGCGACACGCAGCGACAAAGCGACAAGATCCCATTCACTTCAATGGAGCGCTGGCGACATCCGGCGACACGAGAGACGGTGACCGTTGGCGACAGAATGTGGGCGTGTCAAGCGACAAGAGACAAGCGACAAAAGTTGAGAATTTTCAACTTTATGCAAATGAGAAGCGATTTTCGCGAGCGACAACCAATAGGAAAGAAGACTTTCAGTGGAGCTCAGCTCACGTCACCGTCTCGAGTGAGCTGGTTGTCATTGACAGCGACAACAATTTCGTTAGGATGAAAAAAGAAAACTGTTGTCATGATATCACAAAGAAAACAATCACTCAATAGAAGATGTAATTGAAAACATTATTTCTCTTTATTTTTTTAAAGCTTTCTTTAAAAGAGAGCTCCCAGTGGAAAAAAAAGCTAAGCAAATGTAGCAACCATTTGAAGTGCTGTCAGAGATGTTCACAGTCTCAAAACAATCCCTTTACAGCAGGGGTCACCAAACTTTTTTCTCTGGGGGCCACATTATCGTTCCTGACTGTGATGGGGGGCCGGGGCTATATAAAATAGAATTGTGTGACCAAGACCAAACTGACCACCAGCAGGCCTCATAGTAGAGATTACTAGCCTGGCACAGCCATATTTGTTTATCATTAATAGTTGTTTGCAAAAGTAGTAATCGAGTCTTCACACTTTGTTTTAATTTGAAATACCACAGATTTTCCATTTATTTATTTTCAAATACAAATAACATCAAACCTGTCAAGGTAAGAAACATCTGCCTAGTTGAGGTGAGTGGCACTGGTAAGGATGAATGAAAAATTATAAATTATAGGTAGGCCTGTTACTATTTATAATAATTGTGTACAGCACTTAATAAAGGTCAAATAAATAGGCCTATAAAATAAATAAATAAACATTGAAATTATAACAACAACATGAGTAATAGAACTAGTCAGCTCTTATGCCTATCCAGGTGAGCATGCTCAATAAACAACAAAATACCAAATGCAGACATGTTATTATTTTCCAAAAAGCAATTTAAAAAAATAGGCCATGACGAGTTTTGGGGATTGCCGGTTCAAGTAGTGGGGGGCAGAGGGGTTGGGGGGCCAGTCAAAGGGGTGTGGCGGGCCTGATTCGGCCCGCGGGCCTTAGTTTGGTGACCCATGCTTTACAGCATTCATGAAACACCTTACATGTGAATGCAAGATAATCAGTGCAAAATCAATATGGATTTAAGATCTCAGTATATCTATTAGGTAAGAAGGTAAGTCAAATGATTATCTAAAATAGACTACAAACAAAAGATCATTAATATGAATTAATTAATGAATCAAAATATGAATAAATTAATACCATAGTATGGATTTATGAATATGCAATAATTGAATAAGTGTATGTGAATAAAGAAAATTAAAAAGAAAAACAATATTTAATGGATTAACAATCACCCCTCAGATAAGTAATATCCCTACTTCCTAGCATCAGAGTCAAATATGAGAAGCATTAATCAAACACTGACAAAATCAAAAGGCAAAATGTCCTGTGTTTTACAATTGTTCATATTTTAAGTAGAGCTGTTCTTCTCTCTTATGTCAAGCACACATTGGCCGTAAACATTATATAGACCTGTCAAAATATTTTCTCAAATTGCAACACTGTTGGGGATTCTGTCTGGGGACAAATAACAATATTCCAATGCTAATCCCTCATTCCGGCTCTTGATTTCTTTGGTCACCTCATCTAGTTTCTTGCGGAAAGTCTTTATGGCCTCCTTCACTGGTTCCTCTGTGAAGCACATCTCTGGATATGTGCCTAAGTACAGCTGGGCGGAAAAAAAGAAAGTTCATCAGAAAGCAGAACAACAATCTTTCTTTCTTTTTACAAGGTGACCCTTCTCTAAGCCCCGCCCCCTTGGTGATAACATTAGTGTGAGTGAACTGAACTCTTTCTAATGTTACCACTACATAATGACAAAACTGGGCACTTTTTTCTTACTATCCTGTCTGTGACCTTAATCAAAACTTAATAAATTAATTGTCAGTGTTATATGTGCTCCGGAAACAGGATAAATTATCTCTTCTATAACTTTTAGAGCATTTAGTTTAAATATATCCAAACACACAGGACGTCCATTTACTGACGAAGTGCTAAAGCTTGCCTGTTAGTATTGGAAGAAATGTCTTGCACTACAGAATACATTGTGAAAAATGTCATTTGTAACATATGAATTACTTATTCAACACTGTTTTGAATTTTAAAATATGTGGACATAAACAGTGTGAATGTGGCACATTAAATTTAGTGTACTAGTAAACATTTCATTCTCAGTTTATTGCTGCCCTCTTTTTTGCATGCAGACTAAAATTGCGGTGTGCAATGAACAGCGCAGTTATTATTATGATTTACCGTATACTGGACTATAACAGATCAGAGCCCCTAATATTAAATATTTTAAATGCGTAACACCATTAAAGGTAGTGTAGGTCAGAATTTTATAAAAAAAAAAAAAATCCAAATTTGTTTAAACTTTCTATATATATCAATGCATAATTAAAATCTAAGTACTCTGAAAAAAATAGTATAAATTTCAAGTGACTCTAGACCGTTTAATCTGCACGAAACACAGCTCATTATTTCAAACCGGGACGAAACAACGGATTGGCTTAGGTGACTGTCACTCTCTCGCAACCATGGCAACCACTCTTTTGCCACACAGGACCTGCCCACTTGCGCATATCCAGATCGTACCTGTTTGCATGCCCTTGTTTGAGCTTGAAGATGCAAAACTCGACGCAGGTCCTCTTGTCTAAAAAGTGCTCCTTGCCCTGCACTTCGACCACCCCGTCCTCGGCCTCTACTTCCTCTTGCACGACCTCGACCACGGATCTGACGATGCGGTACTTGCTTTCTTATACTGTCTATGGGTAACTTACTTGTCTCGGGAGTGTAGCCCTCATCAGAATCAACAATGCTTTCATCAAGCAAACTCTTACAGGCAGTCAGAACACCATATATACATGAAATTCATCTTCATCACAGTGTAAATGATGGCAATCGTGTATCATGCAACCTGTTTTTAGCCTTGCCTTATAGATAACTAGCTCGTTAGCGAATCAATAAATATATATTGTAAACTTCACCAATATCAATATGCTAGCTTGATAGTGAGTAATAAAATACAACTTATTTGTTTATCTTCATAATGATAGTTAGATTTTTACTACATGCACTCCTTGTCTCAGGTAAATAATGCGTCTTCAGCTCAGCTGTCGGAGTCGCGCGTTCATGTGTTTTGGGGGCGTGGCTTTGGAAGGAGCCCAGAAGGGAGGGGGTGAAGTGAATGGAAATAATGAGCTGTCTTTAAAAGGTCTACAGACACTCGATTGTTATACTTTCTTTTTCAGGGTACTTAGATTTTAATTATGCATTGATATAGAGCCGTGTTTGGGGAGGTTCTGCTTGACTCTCTTCATTGCCGCTTTCTGGGTCTGATTCTGCCTCAAACTGATACTGCAGAACTGACACCATTATTTACATTTGACATGAGCAACTTCGCCTGTAAATGGGCGTGAAGTTTCCGGACAACGTGCACTACGCAGTTTAGCCAATCACAACACACCGGGCCAAACTAACCAATCTGAGCCCATTGCCAGTTTCTGAGGGAGTGGTTTCATAGAATCAGGAAGTCAACCGCTCGTTCAAATGTCAGAGGAGAAAGTGGCTTACAATAAAGTTGAAATTTATGAAAAATAAGACTATAAAAAAATAACACACGAAGATATGTTATATTGCACCCCATACACACAATCATGCAAAGAAAAAAAAGCAGTAAACCGCCCCTTTAAATGAGCCGCGGCAATGTTTCAAATGAGCTTCTAACGCCTTTATTTTCAACGCGATCACCTTGTACCCGAACCATTTCCAAACTAAGGAGCCATTTGTCCTCTGATTACATACAAGCTCCTCGGCGCCACATTTGCGGGACTCGTGTTTTGCGCTGTAGGGGATTTTAAAAAAGTGACGTGAGTGGAAGGGCGGCGCCGTGTGTGTGTGTGTGTGTGTGTGTGTGTGTGTGTGTGTGGGAGGCAGAGCAGCAGAGAGATGCAACAGAATTGCAAATTGCGCGGCTCGAAATGGCTGTTATTTCAAATAGAATGGCATATTTTAAACTAATCGGTTAAAAGGTTTCAACCGCCTAATGAGGCTCGGTGGTCGGTCAAGAAAATGTTTAGTTTTCGCCATCTCTACTGCTGCCATGTTCTCTATCCAAATCAGACAACAAACCTCATTCTTCTGGAAGCGACTGAGGGCCCAAACGGTTCCTATAGCCTTGCTGGAACATCCACGATCAGGCAGACTCTCCATGATATACTTCATATCCACCTGACCCTTCTGGTTGGGAGGCGGTTTGCGCATGGTTGAAGGACTGTTGGGGATCCAGCCATACCAGTCAAACTGAAACAGAAAAATTTACTCACAGATTTTAGCTCATACCCAGACAGCAAACTGACATTGAATCAACGTGGAAACGACGTCTCTCATGACATTGAAACAACGTTGATTTTGCTCATCGAATTAACGTTGAACCAACGTCAGACGCGGCATTCTTCAAAGCTAAATGAAAATCGGAAATTGGTTTGCTTTCATAACGTTGAAACAACGCGTTGATTTCAAGTCGATTTTCCGTTAGTTTTGAAAGAATGACGCGTCTGACGTTGGTTCAACGTTAATTCGATGAGCAAAACAATGTCAGATCAACGTTGTTTCGATGTCATGTTTCCACGTTGATTCAATGTCAGTTTGCCATCTGGGTAGATATTATCCATAATGTTGCCTAGCCATTTTTAACTCTCCTGCGGATGATACGAAAGTGTGTAATCTCACCTGTCCAAAGTTGACCGCAGCATGTTGTGCTGAAGCTGTGAATATCACAACGGTCAGGTACTTGACTAACTCCTCTCGAGTGCTCAGAGTGACTGGAAAATCTGGAAACAGTGGCAGTACGCATTTAACTTGTGCACACATTTAAGGGTGACTTGCAACACAGAAAGATGCATATAGAATATACATGAATACAAACAAACAAACTAGTATTAAGATGCGTTTTGGTTGATTGGATCACAAGTAGTTAATGGAGACACGTTCCCGTTTACACCTGGGGCCTGATTTATAACCGTTGCATACGCACAAAACAAGCCCTGAAAGAGGCGTACAGTACGCCTTCCGAGGCATAAGTTGTGATTCATAAAAACAAACTTGACAGGAAAATTTGCGCACCTGCACACAAACTCTGACCCACGCATACAAATGTTTTGAAGAAGGAGCAGTTTGGTGACACCGATGGAGAGCTGGAGTTAAATGTCTTTTTTGTTTAAGCCGAAAACAGATCTAATCCGAGGACAGTTATTCAGGCTAGGAAGGCCTCGGCCAAGAGGCCTTGACCTGATGCTCAGGCCTCTGAGGGCGCTTCCCAATCCCCCCCTCAACTTCGCCCAGCAGAGCCTCGATGTCAGGAAATCGATGTTGCTTCCCGCCGCCAAGTGCGCCTTGGGACGCATCGACTTCCAGCGTATTGTACACAGTGTTCCTCTAACATCTATGGCCCGGACACATTCGCTACCTCTCACGAGGCCTGTCGAGAAAATTATTCGGTTAGTTCCTGCCAGAAAATTGCTTTAGATCACCAAAAATATTACGACACCTGAGGTCAGTCCTGAGAGACTGATCCCCCTTTTAGATTATTTAGACACCTAGAAGGGTCACCTAGAAAATATATCTCAGTGGGTCCTGAATACAGTTGAGATGTAGAATCCAGTTCCAGTATAGACCACCTAGATTTAGTGGTGTTACTCATACACTGGTATCTCTTGACCAGGATCAGGTGATGGAACAAGAAGTCCAGTCCCTCTTAGCCAAGGAGGCCATATAATATGTGCCCCCTCCCCCACCAGAGGGAGTCCGGGTTCTAGAGCTGTTACTTCATAGTTCGTTAAAAGGATGGTGGGCTGCATCCCATTATAGATCTTAGGCTATTGAACTAATAATCTTTGAGGAGATTTAAGTTCAAAATGCTAACTGTACCTATGATCGTTCAACAAATCAGATCCGAGGACTGGTTTGTGGCGATAGATCTTAATGATGCTCATTTTCACATTTCCATCATCCCACACCATAGGAGGTTCCTTAGATTCACTTTTGGGGGTAAAGCTTATCAATACAGGGTTCTTCCTTTCAGCCTAGCCTTATCTCCTCGCACCTTTACTAATTGTATGGATGCTGCCCTTGCTCCACTGAGACTTCACGGGATCCGTATCCTAAAGTTTATAGATGACTGGCTCATTCTAGCTCAGTCAAAAGAACTGGCGATTCAACATCGAGAAGTTGTTTCACATCAGATCCTTCTGTTGTCCCAGGATAAATTTCTTTCTGTGAGATCCATTTATATTCCTGGGGTTGATAATGTGGGAGCAGATAGCCTGTCGAGGCCCAGGGAATGGCAGCTCCACCCTGAAGTAGTTGAGCTCATATGGAGAGAGTTTGGCCAGGAGGATGTTGACCTGTTCACCTCTTGCGAGAACAGTCACCGCCCCTGTGGTACTCTCTCTCACATCCAGCTCCTTTGGGGCTGGATGCCATGGTACAGATGTGGCTGAGGTCACATTTGTACGCTTTCCCCCCGTTTGCTCTGCTCCCTGAGGTTCTATAAAGGGTCAGGAGGTACGGTGGGAGCTTACTCTTAGCCCCGTACTGGCCTGTCCCAGAATTTGGTTTTCGAACCTTATTAGTCTCTTGGAGAGTCCTCCCTGGCATGTCCCTATTAGGAGAGATCTCCTTTCCCAGGCTGGTGGGACAATATTTCATCCACGGCCGGAGTTATGCAGACTATGGGTCTGGCCCCTGAGGGCGTCCAACCCGTAAATAGGTGCCCTTTCCACCGAGGTGGTTCTGTCATCCACTCTAGAACCCCACTCTACTAGGAACTAAATATTTGTTAGGGACGGCATTGATCCCATTTAAATATTGCCACTGGCTTCAGTACTGGAGTTCCATCCTGTTCTCTAACGGGATTGCCCGTTCATGTTTAGGGCCTCTGTGGAAGCCCCAGTGCTCTTTAAGGGTGAGCATGTATGGAGATTCCCACTAAAACTCCATGTTCCTGTAAATTGGAGGATGAATCCTGTCATTCAGCCTAAGGGCATCAGGCTGATCATCATGTCTGAGTTGTGTGAGAATATAAAAGAATCTTTTGATTTGTTGCCCCCCCTCTTAATTAAGGGCGTAGGAGGAGCCACTCTACCTTATTTCATATTTCATAATATCATGATTCTTCAGGTATCTATCCTCCATCACATGTGTCGGATGGTCAAGGTCATAACCTTGGAGGCCCATTGTGGGAGTTGCTGTCTTTCGTACAAATGTGCCCCTCGGTTATTTTCTGTTTTTTCTCTGTCAAGAGGGCACCAAATTCAAAAATGATTTCGACTACATATATGAACACCTGGATGGCCCATGAATAGCATGGATAGACCGATTGCCATGGCAGTCTGTTTGATGGCACGGAGAGCCAAATCTGGGGTCGGAACAGCTTCTCCACTGCCTCAGGGGGGAGCCCCAGGTCCAGGTCCTTCAGCAAGTCAACCTAGTAAGCTTGCAACACGGTCACGGTCAACAGCTTTCCTTGTTTTGTCAGTCATATGTAATATGCAAGTTTTAGTTGAATGTAAAGACCTAAAACCATGTACATCATAAAATATATAGTTTTTAATATTTTAGTCATGGTCATGGACTATTTTTTCCACTTCATTAAAAGAAATAGGCTTATAATTAACCATATTTAACTTGCAACCCTTTTTATATAATGGAATAACTCCAGCACGTTTAAACTCATTTGGTATTTTTCTTTGTTCAATTGATACATTTAACACAAAAGGAGCAATTACTCAAGCACACTCCCTAAAAAATATCGTGGGAATCTTGTCAATCCCAGATGCCTTATTTTACACATTTAAAAACTCATTAACCATTCCAAATTGTCCATAAAAAGACTTGTCAGTAGGCATAAAATAGGCGGTGTTTTATTGACTGTTCGAACGCATTCGGCATCATGAGCGTCTACACTATGAAAGCAATCCAATCAAATGGGTTCTCGACAACCTCTGGAAGTGGTCGAAAATGGACGAGCTAAAAACATTTAGACCCTGTTTACACCTGTGTTTAGCGTCATCCTCTTGTGATGCGATTGACTAGGTGTAAACATGGCCTTTGATAAGTAAAGTGATAAACCTGTTCTCACTGTGAGGTCTTTGCATGCCGTCGTGGCAATCCTTAACAAATCCTTGAATCTCCTCATCTCCTTGAACTTTCTCATCGCTGTCATAGTAGATTTCAACCACAGCAAACACAAAACTACAGAAAGATCAAAAAGAAGATACATTAATAATTTAATGAAAATACCTTTTTATTGGGGTGTAATGTGGACTAATTTGCACTTGTGCACTATTAGTACAGGATCTGAACTGTTGCAACACCTACCTGTGTATTGCCTCCCAGATCTTCATGCCATCATCTCTATAATAGTATTTCGGCGCATCTTCCATTCCTCGAGCTTCAATGGCCTCAGGGAAGCACAGGGACTCGTAGGTTAAAGTCTCCATGGCACTTTTAATCACGTCAGCTATCCCAGCTCTATTGAGGCTAGTAATCTGTGGATACCAAGAATTCAGTTAAAATTTTGCCTAAATATTTTCAGCACTTCTTTAGCCTACACGTTGACTTTTGGAAATTTAGGAACTATTAGGTCTGTTGGTTTAAGCAAACACCAGTTAACTAAATACAAAGTAGCCTATGAAGTAGAATTACTGTAAGAGCATTCAGCAAAAAGACAGAATATCACAACTTAAGCCAGAAAGTCAGGTAATGGCCATTATGAAAGTTTGTTAACACTGTGTGCGTCTTTAAACCTATATCAAAGACATAAATTATGGTTTGCTAGACAAAGACTAAATAATCAAATATGAATAGAATCGCTTTGAACCCTAGCAATATGCTGTTTATGTGTGGAAATATTAAATTAGGTGTAAAGCTACCTGGGTGATGACCCCGCCTTCACTGATGAGTCTTTCACGAGCCAATGCATTGATTGCAATTGTGAAACGAACATGAGGTTTCAGTAACTGTAAGAAGCATTTAAACATGTGCATCATAAAAACTGATTCAATAGCATAACCTGAAACAGCAAAAGTGGTTTCCATGTCATTCCCTGGAGGTTTTTGGTTAACATTAAACCATGGATGAAAAGAAGTTAAAGGGTTAGTTCACCCAAAAATGAAAATTAAGTCATTAATTACTCACCCCCATGCTTTTCCAACCCCGTAAGACCTTCGTTCATCTTCAGAACACAAATAAAGATATTTTTGATTGAATCTGAGAGCTAGATCAGTCCTCCATAGACTGCCTAAGGGACTGGCTCTTGACGGCCCATAAAGTCATTAAAGAAAAGGTTTAAATATTCCATGTGCCTACAGCGGCTCAATTATAAGTTTATCAAGCGACGAGACTACTTTTTGTGCGAAAAAAACATAAATAACGACTTTATTCCACTATTCCATTACTTCCTTATGGGCGCACTACAAAAAGTAGTCTCGTCGCTTGATAAACTTATAATTGAGCCGCTGTAGGCACATGGAATATTTAAACCTTTTCTTTAATGACTTTATAGGCCGTCAAGAGCCAGTCCCTTAGGCAGTCTATGGAGGACTGATCCAGCTCTCAGATTCAATCAAAAATATCTTTATTTGTGTTCTGAAGATGAACGAAGGTCTTACGGGGTTGGAACAGCATGGGGGTGAGTAATTAATGACTTAATTTTCATTTTTGGGTGAACTAACCCTTTAAGGATATCAGAACCAGAAACCCTTCATCAATAAATTGACATGTGAACCTACAGTCTTCAGTTTAGCCCCGAATCTAAATGTCAGGACTGTGTATTGAGACTGAGACGTACCTTGTATACAGGATGGACTAGAGGGAGCTGTCTGTGCATGGCCATTTCAAAAACCTCTGAAATCAGATGTGTCTTGAGAAGGTGTGTGACCAACTGGTGTACAAGGAAGTTGGCAGATTTTACCCACATCTTGGCAAGCATCCAATCATGTTCTTTATCACTCGGGAGAAAGATCGGGCTCTCTTCCCCTGCGGTTTGACTGAGCTGATTTAGATATAATAAAGCCAAGAAGGACATTTTTACTTCGGTTTGTAAATTCACAGCAAAAGCACTTTTATTTTAATGTATGTTTTCATTTGATACGGGACAGATACCTGAATGGCAATTGGCACAATTTGGTCCAGTCTGTTCTTGTACAGCAGGCAGAGGGGTGCAGTCAAATAGAGCTGATCACTGGATGTTGGGACTCCCTTCAGTATTTCATAATCCACTATGTAGATGTTTCCTGCCTGTAAACAAGTACACAGGTGTACAATTTAGACATTTATGTACTGTAAATTAAATTATGTAAAGAATGTCATGAGACAAGCCTTGGTTTTGATACCTGATCAACTGTTCAAGTGTCTTAAAGGGGGGGGGTTGACTTAATAGTCTTATTTTTCATAAACTTCAGCTTTATTGTCAGCCGCGCTCTCCTCTGTCCTCGAACGAGCGGTTGACTTCCTGATTCTATGAAACCACTCCCTCAGAAACAGGCAGTGGGCTCAGATTGGTCAGTTTGGCCCGGTGTGTTGTGATTGGCTAAACTGTCGCTCACGTTGTCCGGAAGGTTAAGGGCCATTACCTTTACGGGCGAAACGTTACGTGCACGTCATGAACTCCGGTCCAGATGTAAATATGTGTCGAACTGCAGTAACGTTATCAGTTTGAGGCAGAATCAGACCGAGAAAGCGGCGATGAAGAGAGTCAAACAGAACCACACCACACACGGCTCTTAATAAACGTTTCTGAATGATAATTTGCTACATTTTTTAACTTTATACACGTTTGTTTTACACAACAGCATCTGACTGGCAACAATAGCAACTGACTGGCTACTAATGTCATACTCAAACAGCGTCGGCAAGTTTACGTTCTTGATCAAATCGAAAATAACGTATATACATGAAAAATACATTTACAACATTAGTACTTATACAAAATTCAGGTCCATAATGTTTGTACGCGTTTGTCGTAGATACAAAATAGCATAACTAGTAACGTTAGCCTAGTGGCAATAAAGCCAGCGCTGGCATTTGAAAAAAATAAAACACAAGGCTACGTCTGGAATTAAACATGCAAATACATTTAAAATGATGAAGTCTTAGCCTACTTACAGGTTGTGGCCCAACAACTGCTGCCTCTAGTTTTAAAGTTGGAACTGCTTCATGTTTTAGTAACAGTTTCTTGTTGAATCCGGTGTTGGAGATTCTGGAAGCTGTCTTCCGTAAATGCGCAGCACAGAGAGCTAAATTACGATCGTCATTTTCAGGAACATAATCAAACATAAATTGTATCCATTGTTGACGAAGTACAGCGTCCGTGGGAAGCTCAAACAGAGAAGACCTGACAGCTGCGTGAACAACGCACTCGACGAGCCGCACAAATTTTTACGGAGGGAGGGGTTGATGCAAATGTGCGGGTTAGTGACGTACCATAACCCAGCTGTAGTCCCAATCCAGTCGTTTTTGTATGCAATATAATTCCTGATTTTTAAAAGACGATATCTCTGCTTACACTGAACTTTCAGCGCTGCAACTTTGCAGATACTGTTCATGCACCAACAGCAACATTACACGCTATTTAAAATTTAAAAAAGGGAAATCGCTTGTTTCTGACCTTTAATTCCTCTTGGAGAGTGACTCCTGTCTTCAGAGAGCCCTTCACCATCTCATGTGTGACTGGAAATTTGACTGGGATTTCCATGCACTTCCTGATCATGACAGGATTGCAGCCGTTCAAAAACTGATAGCCGAACATGTAATCCTCACTCCAGTCTTGCACCACTTTCTCTGTCCAGATTTCAAATGGGAAAATTGAGTCAACTGTCAAAGGCTTTACGTGTATGAAAAAAGTGCCTCTTCATTGTTGGTTTCTCTCAACAGTTGTGTTTTTGGATATATTTTGTTTAAACAAAGAAACAAACCTAGTAGAGTGTTCTTAATATTAAAATCTTCCAATAAATTTTCAAAATCTGCCATGTCTTTCCAGGAATGAATGAAACCTTTAAATTTGTCAAGCAAAAATTCCCCAATCCTGAAAAAAAGAGTGCATACTGTATAATTATAGACATGAACCATGTATATGTATGTAGGAAAATTTCTGTATCAAATCAACAAGGACTGTGGCCATAACACATTCCCCCAAAACTTACACTTTCAGGACATTCAAATTAAACTCAAAACTTTTTGCCGAATCAAACTGAACTTCTGGAGGAAGACCAGACATGCTCTTCGGGAAGCCATGGTCCGTGTCGGTCCACCTTCAACAAGAAAAAGGACAACATTTACTTGTACAGTTGCATTGTTAGTACATTTATGTTAAGTTAGTTTCACTTTAAAGGACATTTAGTTTGTTTATCGTCAGTTTCCTGTTTCCTTTTGTCTTAGTTTCCCACCACTAATCTGTTTCTATGGACACTGATTCTATCATCTCGCCTGTTATTCGTCATTCAAAAAGGAAAACCGACGCTGCCGGGGCTGCAGATACACACAACGTAAACAAAGCAGCGCGTGCTTACCGTTTTGAATATCAATCCTGCTGAACACTTTCTTTATTCCACTCCGCTCATGTTAATATTGAAATATTCACCAAGGAACACTCAGGATGGCGTAACATAAGAGCAGCCTTCTATCTTTACCGTTTTGACTTCTTTGCTTGCTGTTTTGCTTTTATTCTCGTGCACCGACCCTTTCACGAAGCTGAACAGCTGATCAGAGTTCTGTCTTTCCCCAACATGTCGAATCGGGCGAAACAAAGCCGACGAGGACAATTTTAAGCCGACGGCATGGAACCGTGCGAATCATACCGAGAGATGGCCGACGCACAAAAAAAAAAAAACCGTCGGCTTGGTGTGTTCCGGGCTTTAGTCTTTTAGTTTATCTTTAGTCTCTTAGTTTATCTTTAGTCTTTTAGTTTACCCCCCCCCCCCCCCCCCATAATAAAGAAAAAACGGCAACATTTGAAAATTGTTGAAGAATGTAATTGTTTCTTCAAACCCGAATTGTTTCCGTCTAGATTCCAGTTCTTCTTGTCTTTTCTTTTTAAGCAATTCGGTGTCATCCTGAGGCAATCGAGCTAAACGAACACACAAAGAAATACATATTGCACACATTAGACATGATTAAATAACAACTGAACAACTGAACTTAAAAATGTAAAAATTTAAAATGCATGTACCAGTGCCTTCTCGGATAATCACTTCCTTTTCGTCCTCTAACCAGCACTGACAGGGAAACTCGAAGCACTTTCCAGAGGGTGTTTTCACTTTGATATGCTTACAAAACCGCAGAAAATTGACTAAGATTTTCTCCTTTTCAAGTTTCACCTGGACAATGTCTTCAATGTCCTTCTTCACACAGACGTCAAAGGAGTACTCCTTTAATGACAATTTTTATTAGACACATAATATGGGGGAGGGAGGGAGAGACAACCAACAAACAAAAAAATACAAACTAAAAACATCTCAGTCCACACAGTTGACATGTTTACCTGTTTTAGATTAGAAGTTGTGTTCACGAAATAGACACTCAAAACGAGCCATTGGAGAAGTGAATTATTTGTATACATCATCAGCTATGGGAAATAACTCATCTGGTATAAATTTACAAATGGAATATGGAATAGCTACGACTTCTGTAATTCAGCCCTTTTTCTACGATCCTATGCTTTTGGGCTTCACTTAGATATGTTTCTTTTACTTTGAATAACTAAGTTTGGTGTCAAAACGCCATATATAGATCCAGCATAAGATTAAGTTTGTCATCATGCCATGACTTTCTTTGTTGTTTTAAATATGTTCTATTTTCAATTTATTGTTTTTTAAGGAATTAATTACAGAAGCCCTGAACCGCAACCTAAAAAAAAAAGTCAGTAAAAAAGAAAAAATCTGTAAAAAAAAAAAAAAAAAAAAAAAAAAAAAATCTAGCATTTCGAGATTAAAGTCGAAATGTTTCGAGATTAAAGTCGAAATTTTTACCTTTAATGGTAGCCTAATGCTGGTAGATTGGCACCTGTTGAATTTCCTTTGATGAAACAAAACACACACACACACAGTGTGAAACTCGCTGTTGGCCATTATGAATGCCTGTGTGTGCGGCAATGCGAGACAATGGCAAGCACACACGCGCAGCTTCTACGTAAGACTGTATTCTCGTACTCTCGTCTCTCGAAATGTTTCGACTTTAATCTCGAAATGTTTCGACTTTAATCTCGAAATGTTTCGACTTTAATCTTGAAATGCTAGATTTTTTTTTTTTTTACAAATTTTTTTTTTTTTTTTTAGGTTGCGGTTCAGGGCTTCCACAATTAATGGCTTATCTCTATCACTGTGAGAGAGCCGTCACAAAAGTGTTGATCTAACGCATTTATCTGGTTTGTGTTGGGTAAAGATTTAAAGAAATTATTCATATGTTGTTGAGGAAATCAAGAGTAAAATTTAAAGGGGTGATGAACTGAGAAATCAAATTCGTCTATTTGGATCTGACAGGAATGGTGCAACACACGGACTCTGGGTCGAACATGTATGGGCGAATCAATCCGATAGCTGGACGTTTTCAAAACAATTTCCCCCATGCATCAACGGGTGAGTTGAAACTCATTATAATATGCAAAACTGTTATCCAATCACAGCAGTGGGCATTTACTTCCAAGTCTTCAGTGCGAGATGCCCATAAAAACCGAGCGTTTTTCAACTAGGCTCAAAACTAGGGTAGAAAATAGCCTATTACTTATTCATTTTGATGTTGTTTTAATGCAAAAACCAAGTGAACGTCATAAGTTGACCTCAGACAACAATATTATAAAATTTAAAAAGTCAGTTCTTGACCCCTTTAAATATGAATCATTGTCCATCACTTTGTGAGCAATTGTCAATAAATATGTCACATCTCAATATTGGAAATATTTCCGTTTTAAACCATGAAGGCGAGTCAGTGGAAAAAGTTAGCTCAATATAGCACTATCAAAAGACACATTATTGTCTCCTCTATTTTGTACAAAATAATCATTTTTTAACATTTTGATACCTAACAAAGTTGTATTGCCTAAAATGTAAAGTGCAATTTCTTTACTCTTTAAGCAGAAAAATAAGAAAATTGTGCTAACCTCAGATTAGAGTGATCTTGACCACATGTGAACAGCAAGTTGACTATAAAAGAAGTCACTCAAAGTGGCTATTTGATTTTTGCGATTATTGAGCCTCTGGTGTTGGTGTTATGAACCGTGTGACAACTTACCCCGCTCTCCTCCTACGGTAGCCTCATAATGTTAATAAAAATAATAATACTTTAAAATAATCAAGTCTTTAAAGTTCTTACCTTTTCAAAAAAACCAAAACCACCAAAATAGGATTTGTTGACCAGGACTCTTTCACTGCTCTGATCCTTTGAGTCTATCAGCGTCAGGTAAATGCTGTTTGTTGCCTCAGAAATCATCTGTCTAACCAACCCGATCTCATGTCTACTAGTAGTTACAGTCACCCTGTACGTCAACATCTTGCCTGAATGAAAGATGTACAAACTCTGGATCCTCAGTTTATTCTTAAGCACCTTTATATGAAGTTCACTTCCGGCACTACTCTCCGCCTCCTGTGACATTATAATGTGGGTTTGGTCTTTCAATCAAAAATGTCATGTTCATACCTGCATATGTGATCAATATCTGAACTAATAGGAGAGACATGAATAAATGTAGAGGTATATCTATTTCTATATCAATAGACCTCTCTCTTTATTGTGGACAGTTTGCGGTGTTGGAGACAGCTTTTTGTTTCACTGTAAAAAATGATTGTGATTTTAACAGTAAAAGACTGTAAAAATGCTGCAGTGAAAAACTGGTTATTGGTTAACAGAAAGTTTCCTTACTATATACGGTAAATAACTGTGCATATTTAATGGCATATTTAATGTAAAATACTGTTAAATTTACAGTTTTTGGAAGTGAAAAAGAACAAGTCATTGTATAAATTACAGTGAAAAAATGTAAATTGACATTCCCACAATTCCCTGTGTGACACTCACATTTTAATGTAATTTAACGGTTTCTTCATAATTTTCTTAGTTTTTTTCTACATTAAGGTTTTATGTTACATTTAATGTTGTTAAATGAATGCTTATTGCATTTTTTTTTTTAAATTTCAACATGTTACCATGATGGTGTTTAATGTTTGTGTGAATGACAAGTTTCTAAATCATAAAATGATTTTTTTTTGTGGAAGAGCTGCTTATGATGAGCTTTGATTGATCATTTGACTCTTTACTGTGATTATTGGCTGTCAGTGAATTACAATTGAAGCAAAACAGATATTAATACTTCAAAAGGTCAGTAAATTAACATTATATCAGATAATGAAATACGGTTTATAGCTGTAAAATTAAATACGGTTAAAAGTCTGTAAAACCTAAAATCTTGCTACCGTATTTTTAACAGGAAAACTCTGATAAGCACAGCTGCCAGTTTTTTTCCCCGTAAATTTAACAGATTTTTTTTTTTTACATTGTTTCATTGTTGCAAGGAGGAACAACACATTGTTGGTTTCAGTTTGCAAGAAACGGAATGCTTTTCAGTTATTTCTAAACAAAATTCAAGATTTTCAAGAAAAACACAGAGATATTGGGCAACACTGTACAATGTAAGTTATTGTGTAAATGCATGAAATGAACTGTCGTAACCAGGGCCGGCCAATGGTATAGCCGGAATAGGGAAATAGTTTTTTTTTTTTATTATTATTATTTCTAATACTATTTTAATACTATTCATTTGAAAAAAAAAATCCAAAAAAGGAGGAACACATATTTGCACATGTTGTATTCATAACATCACATATTATCTTAGTACGGAGTTGTAGACTGTAGAATAAAGACAATTTGCAAACTATCACACTAGATTGTCTAAAAATAAGAACAACTACTTAATTGTGAATATCGATTTTTATTTTTTAATTCAAACCAGATCTGGAAATATAAACAATCGTGCTTTGAGAATCTGGAAAAACAATTATTTTAATTCAAACAATATATATTTCAATCAAAACACATCAAGTGGCAAGACCCCTTTACTTTGACCTTTAAACTCAAACGTTCTCTGGCTTGCACATACACTCACCTGAAGGATTATTAGCAACACCTGTTCAATTTCTCATTAATGCAATTATCTAATCAACCAATCACATGGCAGTTGCTTCAGTGCATTTAGGGGTGTGGTCCTGGTCAAAACAATCTCCTGAACTCCAAACCGAATGTCAGAATGGGAAAGAAAGGGGATTTAAGCAGTTTTGAGCGTGGCATGGTTGTTGGTGTCTGAGTATTTCACAATCTGCTCAGTTACTGGGATTTTCACACACAACCATTTCTAGGGTTTACAAAGAATGGCATGAAAAGGGAAAAACATCCAGTATGCGGCAGTCCTGTGGGGGCGAATATGCCTTGTTGATGCTCGAGGTCAGAGGAGAATGGGCCGACTGATTCAAGCTGATAGAAGAGCAACTTTGACTGAAATAACCACTCGTTACAACCGAGGTATGCAGCAAAGACACAACACACACAACCTTGAACAGCAGAAGACCCCACCGGGTACCACTCATCTCCACTACAAATAGGAGAAAGAGGCTACAATTGGCAAGAGCTCACCAAAATTGGACAGTTGAAGACTGGAAAAATGTTGAACAGCCTTGATTTCTGTTGAACATTCAGATGGTAGAGTCAGAATTTGGCGTAAACAGAATGAGAACATGGACCCATCATGCCTTGTTCCCACTGTGCAGGCTGGTGGTGGTGGTGTAATGGTGTGGGGATGTTTTCTTGGCACACTTTAGGCCCCTTAGTGGCAACTGGGCATCGTTTAAATGCCACGGCCTACCTGAGCAATGTTTCTGACCATGTCCATCCCTTTATGGCCACCATGTCCCCATCCTCTGATGGCTACTTCCAGCAGGATAATGCTCCATGTCACAAAGCTGGAATCATTTCAAATTGGTTTCTTGAACATGTCAATGAGTTGACTGTACCAATATGGCCGCCACAGTCACCAGATCTCAACCCAATAGAGCATCTTTGGGATGTGGTGGAACGGGAGCTTCGTGCCCTGGATGTGCATCCCACAAATCTCCATCAACTGCAAGATGCTATCCTATCAATATGGGCCAACATTTCTAAAGAATGCGTTCAGCACCTTGTTGAATCAATGCCACGTAGAGTTAAGGCAGTTCTGAAAGCCAAAGGGGGTCAAACACGGTATAAGTATGGTGTTCCTAATAATCCTTTAGGTGTGTGTAGATCCATGATAACTGAATGGAATGCTGCAGATAAATTGCTTAACTTAACATGTTTAACCTCTGAACAAAACAGATGCCCTGTATCTGACTAATCAGACTCATCTCCAGAGTCACAATTCTGGCACACATAAATTGCCTGGCCTGAGGTGCAAGCATCACGGGCCCATTTGTTGCATTTTACACAGGTGTCCTTTGGACGACTGTTTGAAAATGGCTCTACACAGATGAAGCAGAAGCAATGTTCATCATCTGATGATGACAATTTTTCTTCTTTTAGCTGCCTTGTTCTTCGTAGGTCCAGATTTTGACATTTTCTTTGGCATAACTAAGTCCATCAATGGACAGATGAGACTGGTGGTTGTCCCAAAGGAGTAAACAGGACTTCTCCTTTGAGCACTTTGAGTATCACTTTGAGTATGTTCACTAAAATGTTTCAGAAAGTTTCAACAAAGTGTGTCTTTCATCCATCCAGAGGAATTTGCCCCTCCTTAACTGCTTTTTTACCTGTTGATCAGGAAATGGTCGCGGACGTTGACACGGGGGTAAATAAAGTATGGAGGTATGCTGTTCCCAGATGGCATGTAATCTTTCAAACAATGTTGAGTCAGTATTGATGAGTCAACGCTGATTACATTGAAATGATGTTAGAAAGTGATGTTGATTTAGCATTACTCTTACACCCTCAGGTTAATGTTGAATAATATTGAAATAATGTTCAGATTTCAACCACAAATCAATGGTGTTAAAATTGCTTCAACATTACAAAGTGATATTGTTCCAAAGTCACTTTTGCATCCTCGGTTAATGTTGAAGTGATCTTGAGATTTCAACCAAAAATCAACGGTAATAGTATTGCTTCAACATTTTTTCAACATCACTTTTGCACCCTCAGTTAATGTTGAAAAAAAAAATCATTGGTAATGCTATTAAATCAACTTTACACTATGATTGATTCTACATCACTGATGCTGAATCAATATTGAAATTACCAAAAATAATAAATGTTAATATTGTTGAATCAACGTTACTCTATGATGTTGAATCTACATCACTGCTGTTGAATCAGCTCTTAAATTAACAAGAATAATCTTGGTAATATGGTAATATGGTTGATCAATGTTACAATGTGATGTTGATTCAAAATACATTTAGTTGAAACACTGAAAATTCAATAAAGGAATGTCAATGTTGCCATCTGATGTACCAAGTTTTCAACCACCACTGAAGGGGTCTCATGTGTAGAAGGCCCAAAGAAATAATGCTGGATGCCACTGCCATGAGGCCCAGCATCCTTTGAAATTGCTTTGCAGTGATGGCCTGGCCCAGCTTCACCCTGGATACCATCGCCAGGATTGACTCGATACGTGCGGGAGACATTCGTGCATTGTAATCGAGTTCCACACGACTTTTTTACATTGAGTCTCAACCCCAATTTCTGAATGTGGCCAAGGACGACATCTCGATGCCGAACTGCCACCTCCCGAGACTGAGCCAAAATGAGCCAGTCGTCGAGATAATTCAGTATACGAATGACTGGAAGTCTCAGTGGAGCAAGGGCTACGTCCATACATTTGGTGAATGTGCGGGGAGAGAGTGCTAGGCCGAACGGAAGAACCCGAAATTGGTAAGCTTCGCCCCCGAAAGCGAACCTCAGGTATCTCCTGTGACATGGAAGGATGGAGATGTGAAAATAGGCGTCCTTTAAATCTATCGTGACAAACCAGTCCTCGGACCTGATCTGACGCACGATTGCAGGAATGGTTAACATTTTGAACCTGAACCTCCTCAGAGATCGGTTCAAAACCCTGAGATCTAAAATTGAAAAAACTCTAGAGAGGAGCATTTTGCTAAATATATACACCATATTACATTTTATAATATATACACCATATTCCATGCATTATGATCTTAATGTTCTTCAATATTTAATGCATATTTGAATAAATATGGCAAGATTGTATGACAGCCACCATTTAAATGTTTATATTTCATATAATCTTCTTATTATAAAAATAAACAAAAGTGTAATTTAAGTGTTTGTATAGCTACAAAACAGTTCATTATTACCTTCATATTAGGCTAATGAAGTCTATAGGCTACAACTAGACTCCCATAGTTTTTTACAGCATTTAAGAGATTTGAATCCCTTGAGAAAAATGGCCATTTATTGTAACTGATATCCAAAATAATCGATATTGATTGGAATCGAATCATAATCGAAATCGAATCGAATTGTGAGATTTGTCTCAATACCCAGCCCTATTATATACGGTAAATAACTGTGATAGATCTAATCGTAACTGTAAAATTACAGTTTTTGGAAGTGAAAAAGAACAAGTCATTTGATAATTTACAGTGAAGCACTAATATCTGCAAACTGCACACCAAAATCTTGGAAGGCTTTAACAAAATTTCTACCATTTTCTGTCATTTTGGCACAGATCTTACACTAGATGTTGAATAGAATCTCACTTAATTTTCCTGCATTTAAATCACAGGTGTGACATCCTCAGACTCTTCTAAGGCAGCTGGTTTCCTGTTCTGCCCCATGACAGGTCAGATAACATCTATGTTGAAACGTCCACTGATCTGCTGTAGGACACAGTTTCAATGCCCTGAAGTTTTCAAGCAATGATTCTTTCATGTTTTGGGATGAATCATCTAGTTTTTCTGCACATAGGGGTTTTCCCTCTACTTATAAACTTGCGGAAGGAAACACGAGAATGGTTGCATATTTTCAGTTATGATGTAAAGTCTGAGATGGAACTGCATTCACCACCACCATAATCTGAAACTGACATCCTTTTCCTTGATGTAATCTGCATGGCACTTGGGTGCATTGGAAGAATATATAAAATATATATAAAAGATCTTGCGCTCAAGTAGGGACCGGTAAGTTCTGTTTAAAGTTTTGATGGATGGGGTTTGTCAAGTTGAAAGATTTTATTAAGTCTGTTTTACTTTGACACAACTGGTTGGAGGAATTTCAGGTAGGGGAGAGCGGGACACAACCTAACACATTTTGGTTTTGGCTAAATTAATTAAAAAATAATTAGGTTAGATTCATATTTTTTTCCACAAGCAACATGCACATCTCTGCTACAAATGACTACTTAAAGTTTTTTTCTAGGACCTACCATTTTCGTACAGTTGGACTGAAAGTGACAGAAGTGCAAATGTTACAACTTACCCCATATGCGGGGTTAATTGTAACAGACATAATTCAGTACTATTTTATTTGTATAGTTTGATATTGTTTGTGCATCTGTATAGACCGATATCCATACATCCACCCCTCATCCAATCATCCTTCTATTATGATCAATATCATGGATAGAGACGTAGAAAAGGGCTGCACAGTTTTGCAATAAATAATAATAAATACAATTATAAAATACTGTAATTGCTATTAAATTAGATTTTTGTGTGGCAGCTGCATGTACAATTATCATTATTATTAATAATAATAACAGTAATAATAATACAAATGAGCTTAAAATAAAATTTAAAGGGTTTATTACATTAAAAACAGGCCATATTTTTAATAAATAAACGAGCTATCATTCACAGTACGCTAAATTTTAAACATTTTAAATTCCAACATAGTTTCGTGAAAGTCTAACAAAGTTAAATGTATACTCAAACCTGAAAAGTTGTGAGGCTCCGTTTTCATTTGATTATCATTGTACACTTGGAGGCTTGTTTGTAACACTGTGTTACCACTAACCCCGCTGTGTATTACATATTTTAAGCCTAGCTAACAGTCGCTAGGAATTGCGGACGTGTTTCAAAACGGTGCTGTGTTTGAGCCAACAACACAGTGATTAAGGCAATATAAAGTTAGATTTGGAAGCGTATACATCCAACCCAGAAACCGAAAAAATCTATGATGAAAAAAATTACTTTCATGGTGTCAAAACACTCTTTGTCCAGTATCTTCACGAGATATGATCAAAACTTTCCGGAAATTCGCGGGAGACCGTCTTCTGGCAGCGAGAGAAAAAGAGCGGAAAGACGGCCGGCTTGATCCTGATTAACTATGTAAAAAGTCCGTGTTACAATTACATGCGTTAGGTTGTGCCCCGCGCTCCCCTATATCAGGTTAATATTGTCCCTATACGGTAACACTTTAGAATACGGTTCCTTCGTTAATGAATAACTACACAAGAACTAATGAGTAACACAATATTAACAATCTAGTAACTATTATTAACTAACAAGAAACTCTGATTAACGAACTAGTAAGTAATAGCGCACAGACGAAAGTGGTAGTTCACTATTAAAGCTAGGGTATACGATTTCAAAGATTGTTCATTATTAATATCCTCGTTTATATGCTGGTTATAGTTATATAGTACAATCCTAACAATATAAATGGAAAAAAGAACGAAAAAATCCATTCACTCTATTGGCTGTACAGCCGCATAAAAGTTGACCAATGAAAGCTTTGCGGACGCAAAGCTACATTGGTCAACTGCTCTCATCCAATCACCAGCTACACTTGAAACTCCGCCTGGCGCTCGCGTCTCCACCCCACCGCACCCGACCGCGCCCCCCTTCTGCGTCATGAGAATCGCGCGCATTAGCAGCTAACCGCATATGGTAGCTAGCTAAGTAGCATAGCAGCAATGGATAAAAACGAAAAAGACAACAGCAAGCGTCCCCTGCTTGCCCCTACAAGAAAATGTGAAGAATGCCGAAATTTGAGGAGAATAAATATAGTCCACCATTGACCGATGGAGGAAGCTTCAGCGAGATCTGGGACTGAATACCGATGCTGACACTGCTGACTTTTATTTTTACTCGTAAATGGCGTGAGTCGCGTGAAGTGTTACATAAATAGCTTTTTAGTAGTCTGACAACTTGCTAACGCTGCCGGTCGGCATTGGAATGTTAGCCGTTTAGCATCGCCTATCACGGGTCAGTGCTTGATTATATTTCAGTAGGCCTAGCGGGTTTCTGTTCAAGCCGATCAGAATTTAAACAAGATGCGCTGTATGCTGCTATAACAATTACTCAAAACCTTCGCAATACTACTAATATCATACTTATGGTGGTGGGTAGTGTAGAACATTTCATGTGTTGCTAATCTTGCGTTGACGTGATCTCAAACGTGTCATTGAATTGTTGATGAAGCAACTAAGTTCAAGTGTCTAAAGGCAATTTTACATATGATGTGATTGAAGCGACTAAGCAATGTTGTGAAAGTATGATGATCACAACTTGACTGAGTGACGTTGTTCAATTCGTTTCCCGGGAGGGATCAGGTAGCAGAGGGAAGGGGTGTGTGTGTGTGGAGAGGCGGGATGAGTTTTTTAAAACGTCCCTCCCGTTTCAGGCTTTCTCGACCGATTTTCAACATCGTATACTACAGCTTTAAGTAATCAATAACTACTATTTTTTTAATACTTCCCAGAGAACTACAGAAAAAGTTAATTAATAATCTAGTAACTACTATTAACTAAAAGAAACTCTTATTAACGAATTAGTAAGTAATAACTCACAGACGAAAGTGTTACTAGATACTTCTGTGGGAGTTACTAATTATTTGGATCCGTATTATAAAGTGAAGATCATTTGGAACTAACTAGTAATAATTACTCAAGTGTTACTAAAGACATTTTCTAAAAGTTACTAAAGTTCACCAAAAATCTCAAACATTTGCACAAATCATGACTAGATCATGTAGTAACACTTGAGTCATTACTAGTTAGTTCCAATGATCTTCACTTTATAATACGAATCCAAATAATTAGTAATTCCCACAGAAGTATCTAGTAACACTTTCATCTGTGAGATATTACTTACTAATTATTTGGATCCGATTATTTGGAACTAACTAGTAATGACTCAAGTGTTACTACATGATCTAGTCATGATTTGTGCAACCGTTTGAGATTTTTGGTGAACTTTAGTTTTTGAATCCTATTCAACTGACCACCAGAGGGAACCATCTCCTGAGTCTTATTCATGGACCTGTTCTTCTCTGCTCGTTTCTTGTTTGTCTGATGTGTTTAAGCCATGGCATTTCCAGTTTCACTGCACAACCAAACATATTGTGTTGAGTAGTGGAGAGCTAACAGAATGGCGTCGTTCAAGGTGAGACCATGGTGATGGTCATCATTCACTCTCGTAGATCTGGGGGTATTTTGAGCTGAAATTTCACAGACACATTCTAGGGACACCATATATTTATATTACATCTTGTGAAAAGGGGCATATGTCACCTTTAAGTGTACTTTTTTTAAATGCACTGTAAAAAATAAACCGTAAATTTTACAGTAAAAAAACGGCAGCTGTGTTTGCCAGAAATTTAGCGTTAAAAATAAGGTAGGAACGTTAATGGTTTTTCAGACTTAACGTAAAATTTACAGTAATAAACCGTAATTTATTTTCTGATAAAATGTGGATTTACCAACTTACTGATGTATTGATATCTGTTTTAGACCATTGTAATACACTGACAACCAACAATCATCACAGTGATGATCATACAATGATTTGTTCTTTTTCACTTTCAAAAACTTAAAATTAACGGTAAATTTAACGGTATTTTACTGTAAAATTATATCACAGTTATTTACCGTGTATAGTATGGAAACTTTCTGTTTACCAATTAACAGTTTTGCACTGTAGCATTTTTACAGTATTTTACCGTTAAAATCACGGTTATTTTTTACAGTGTGGTTTAAAAATTTTTTATTTTATTCAAGTTACAAAAGTAAATACTTCAATGTTCCCTCCCACTCATCCAGCACTGACTTCAATAATAGTATTTTTTTTAAACATGGCATATTTTAACTTTTGCTGAACAGCCATAATTCACTGCTAAATCTACCGTAAACACGTTCAGTATCATTTATAAAATGACAAAGATCAAGTCGAAATAATTTTTTTAATTATGAAAAAAGAAAACGCTTGTCATTATATAAAAAACAAAACAATCACTCGATAAGATGTAATGGAAAAATTTATTTCTCTTTATTTTATTAAAGCAACTTTAAGGGGCTTAATCTTAATACAACTTTAAGGCAAAAAATAAGTCAAACGATTATCTAAAATAGACTACAAACAAAAGATCATTTGAATAGTAAAGAATATGAATCAAAATATGAGTAAATTAATACATATAAATAATGGATATGTATGGATATAATGAATGGATTAACAATCATGCACAGAAGCATTACAAATTATTATCCCTTACTTCCCAGCAACAGATTCAAATTCAAGAAGCGTTAATCATATGCTTGTCAAAATCAATATTCAAAATCAAAAGGCAAAATATCTCTTTTTTATGTCAAGCACACATCGGCTTAAACACTATATAGGCCTGTCAAAATATTTTCTCAAATTGCGACACTGTTGGGGATTCTGTCTGGGGACAAATAACAATATTCCAATGCTAATCCCTCATTCCGGCTCTTGATTTCTTTGGTCACCTCATCTAGTTTCTTGCGGAAAGCCTTTATGGCTTCCTTCACTGGTTCCTCTGTGAAGCACATCTCTGGATACGTGCCTAAGTACAGCTGGGCGGGAAAAAAGAAAGTTCATCAGAAAGCAGAACAACAATCTTTCTTTCTAGTAATCTGACCCTTCTCTAAGCTCCGCCCCCTTGGTTACCGTCAATCACTCACACAAGCTCATAAAACAAACTTTGGGGATTTTCAACTTTTCTGAATTAATTCTGACATTGCAAAGCATTTTAATTTTCCGTGTTTCTTTAAAAAACGTAAAGTGATTTAAAATAATGTAAATGTGGATGTGTAAATGTGGCGGTGACATGAGTAAGAACTGCAGATCAGCAGAGATCAGAATCAGTGCCAAAGCTTTTTACATTCAGCTGAACATAGAGAAGCTGATTACAGCACTGTAAAAAATTATATGATCAATAAGTCATATATTTTTCCATTACTTTAACTTATCGAAATAATTGTATAAGTTGTACAAGATTCAAAAAAAATTTGAATTTAAGATTTAAATAATGAGTTGATATGACTTGTACAGACAAATTGATTTATGACTTACTTTAAGGTGGAAATTCGTTAGAGAGCTGATAATATTAGTGTGAGTGAACAGAACTTTACCTTATTATATTAGGTAAAATGGAATATGTAACATTCTTTAACTGTTACTCTGTACCCAGCTAGTAACAATTATTTTTCATTGGTTTAGACTAGACTGCTGTCAATTTCAAAGGGAAAGTATATCCGAATAACACATCAAACCTCATTGTTCTGGAACTGACTGAGGGCCCAAACTGTTCCTAGAACTTGGCAGGAGCGTTGATGGTCAGGCAGACTCTCCATGATGTAGTCCATATCCACTTGGCCCTTCAGTTTGGGAGGCGCTTTGCGCATGGTTGAAGGATTGTTGGGGATCCAGCCATACCAGTCAAACTGGAACATAAAAGTTTAATCTCAGATATTATCCCTGAATGTTGCCAAGCAATTTTGGATGCCCTTGTTGTGTGTAATCTCACCTGTCCAAAGTTGACCGCAGCATGTTGTGCTGAAGCTGTGAATATCACAACGCTCAGGTACTTGACTAACTCCTCTCGAGTGCTCAGAGTGACTGGAAACTCTGGAAATAGTGGAAGTTTGCATTTAACTTGTGCACATATTTGCACAACTTGAAACACGCGCATGTCGAATATAGAAAAATAGAAACAATCATGCATGCTTGCACAGACCTGGTATACCTGCTATGAAGATGCGTTTTGGTTCATTTACACATAGTGTTTTAATCTCTTTTGTTCACTTTCAACCACTTCCGCCCTGATTTCTTCATAGACTTTGGTCTTGGGTCTTTGGGCGGGTAAAGATTTTTTCAGATCTTTCAATCCAAGGGACAAAACAAGCTTGCGCAATTTACATATGAATGCGACTGGAGACAGCGGAAGAACTCACAGAGAGCATCTTCAGCTGTTTCCCCGCTAATCTACATCAAGCCATTTCTTCCTCAGTTGTACCCACACTCATAAACACCTCTCTTCATACTAGTACCTTCCCCACAGCTTTTAAAGGAGAACTCCGGCGAACAATGAACCTTTGGTCTAATAAAACATCGGTACATAGTCAACCGTTCTCTGAGATTTGTTTTCATGATAGTCGAATGTAAAGAGTTTTATCTCTAAAAACTGTTTAGCGTATAATGCTAGTAAACAAGGCTCAAAATAGCCCCACACTAACGCAATAACATAATGAGGGTCCATACATGCAAAACGAAGCATTGAGAACTGTAAGTGTAAGTGTACAGACCGTTTAATAAGAAGATACTTTATGAAGACAGTTCACTTCACGTATACAGACAGGAGCCATCTTAAAAAATAGTCTCGATAAGTCAAACCACGAACGTCGTGCTGAGTGATCTGAACTCTATGAAGTTCAACGAATCTCGAACTGTATGAACGGCGTTCGTGGATCGACTTATCGAGACTATTTTTTTAAGATGGCTCCTGTCTGTATAGATCTGTGTGTATTTATTGCCTGTCTTTGTCAGTATATGTTATGGAGTCATTGTTTCATGTCACCACCTTTGAGGTCTGTTTTCAAGATTGTTTGTGTTTTGTTTTTTCTTGTTTTGGACTGCTTTGTTGGATTTTGACCCTTGCCTGGCTGACTACGAGATTTGGATTACCCTTTTAATAAACTGCTGCTTTTGGATATCTGTCCCCTGTGTGTTTGTGACAGAAACAGCTGAAGATGTATCTTTTTTGGCAGCTCTTGACTCAGTTGTACAAACACTTTCTCTTCTATTCTAAAAAAAAAACTGTACTAAAATTAAACTGCGAGGGGTTATAGCAGTTATGTCCTACTGTTAGTTTAACTGCTTCTTTTGTTCTAATTTGTTAGTCGCTTTGGATAAAAGCATCTGCTAAATGAATAAATGTAATGAAATGTTATGTTTACACCTGTATTTAGCGTCGTCCACGTAAGTTAAACTTGTACTCACTGTCAGAATTATTCATGCCATAGGAAACATCCTTAACAAAGTCTTGAATCTCCCCGTCACTTTTAACAGCCTCATCACTGACATAGTAGATCTTGACCACAGCAGAAACATAACTACAGGAAGATCAAAAAGATGACAAATTAAAGACAATAATGTCCAATGATGCCAAAAATGTTCATTGGACTGTATGTTAACTAGTTCGGACATAATCTGAACTGTTGCGACACCTACTTGTGTATTGCCTCCCAGATCTTCATGCCATCATCTCTATAATAGTACTTGGGCACATCTTCCATTCCTCGAGCTTCAATGGCCTCAGGGAAGCACAGGGACTCGTAGGTTAAAGTCTCCATGGCACTTTGAATCACTTTAGCCATCCCAACTTTATTGATGCTACTAATCTGTGGATACCAAGAATTCAGTTAATATTTACAGCATTTATTAAGCCTACCTATTCAGGGGATTATTTTAATCTTTTATTTTTTAATTATTATTATTTTATTTTTTTTGTATTTGGGAAATTTAGGAACTACTTAGGTCTGCCGGTTTAAGAAAACACACAATAGAGGTAAAAGCATTCAGCAAAAAGACCAAAAATCACAAGCCAAAAAGTCAAGTAATGACTCAAGTAATGGCCGGATATGATGAAGATTTGTTAAAGGGTTAGTTCACCCAAAAATGAAAATTAAGTCATTAATTACTCACCCCCATGCTGTTCCAACCCTGTAAAACCTTCGTTCATCTTCGGAACACAAATAAAGATATTCGATTTTTTTTCTCGCATGCGCGAGAACTGAGATGAGACCGTTCTTCTTCGACTACTTTTTGTTATCGGCTGCTCACCGCTTAGGAGTTTTACCGCCCCCTACCGTATAAGATGATGTACTGCTTGTAAACAGAACGTTTTGCGCCTCCGGCTATATCAGTACGTCATCTTATACGGTAGGGGGCGGTAAAACTCCTAAGCGGTGAGCAGCCGGTAACAAAAAGTAGTCGAAGAAGAACGGTCTCGTCTCAGTTCTCGCGCATGCGCCCATAAGGAAGTAATGGAAAGTCGAATAAAGTCGTTATTTACGTTTTTTTTTTCGCACAAAAAGTAGTCTCGTCGCTTGATAAAGTTATAGTTGAGCCGCTGTAGTCACATGGAATATTTAAACCTTTTCTTTAATGACTTTATGGGCCGTCAAGAGCCAGTCCCTTAGGCAGTCTATGGAAAAGTGATCCAGCTCTCAGATTCAATCAAAAATATCTTTATTTGTGTTCCGAAGATGAACGAAGGTCTTACGGGGTTGGAACAGCATGGGGGTGAGTAATTAATGACTTAATTTTCATTTTTGGGTGAACTAACCCTTTAACACTGTGTGTGTCTTTAAACCTATTTCATGGACAGAAATAATCAAAGACTAAATAATCAAATATGAATAGAATCGCTTTGAATCCTAGAAATATGCTATTTATGTGTTGATATATTCAATAAGGTGTAAAGTTACCTTGCAGATGACCCCGCCTTCATTGATGAGTTTTTCACGGGCCAATGTATTGATGGCAATTGTGAAATGAATATGAGGTTTCAGTAACTGTAAAAAGCAAATTATGCATTTAAACGCGCATTAATTCATATAAATGTATTCAAAAAGCATAAACTGAAAGAGGAACTGTGCTTTCCTGCCCTTTTAGGTTAGGTTTTAGGTTAGGAAAAGGCATGGATATCAGAACCAGAAACCCTTCATTAATAAATTGACATGTGAACCTACAGTCTTCAGTTTAGCCCCGAATCTAAATGTCATGACTGTGTATTGAGACTGAGACGTACCTTGTATACAGGATGGACTAGAGGGAGCTGTCTGTGCATGGCCATTTCAAAAACCTCTGAAATCAGATGTGTCTTGAGAAGGTGTGTGACCAACTGGTGTACAAGGAAGTTGGCAGATTTTACCCACATCTTGGCAAGCATCCAATCATGTTCATTATCACTCGGGAGAAAGATCGGGCTCTCTTCCCCTGGGGTTTGACTGAGCTGATTCAGATATAATAAAGCCAAGAGGGACATTTTTACTTCGGTTTGTAAATTCACAGCAAAAGCACTTTTATTTTTAATGTATGTTTTCATTTGATACGGGACAGATACCTGAATGGCAATTGGCACAATTTGGTCCAGTCTGTTCTTGTACAGCAGGCAGAGGGGTGCAGTCAAATAGAGCTGATCGCTGGATGTTGGGACTCCCTTCAGTATTTCATAATCCACTATGTAGATGTTTCCTGCCTGTAAACAAGTACACAGGTTTTTAAAGTTTAAGGTTCTATTAAGTTCTATTGATTCTAAAGAATATTGTGCTGCACTGTTTTTAGATCTTTCAAAGGCGTTTGACACAGTTGACCTGAACACTATGTCCTGTCTCAGAGATTGGTGGATATTGGAATGTCTCCAAAAGCAGTCAAATGATTTGATAATTATTTGAGTGGCAGAATACAAAGTGTTCGTGTTGATGGTGTGTCCTCAAACTCATTATTTATACAAAATGGTGTCCCCCAGGGGTCCGTTTTGGGTCCCATTTTATTTGCTATTTAAATAAACGACTTGTGTCAAAATGTAACAAATGCAAAATGTCATTTTTATGCGGACGAGACCGTATTGTATTGTTCTGCTCCAGCCTTGACAAGTGCTATTAAGAATCTGCAATTATTCAGAAAAATCTTCAGAAATTGAGACTTGTACTAAACCCAGATAAAACTAAAATGATGTCCTTTTCAAAATCAAGGAACACAGAAGATGCTTGTCCAATTGCTACACTAGATGAAAAAGTAATTGAACGAGTATCAGTCTATAAATATCTTGGTTTCCTTTTAGAAGAAAATTTGTCCTTCAAACAGCATATAGAGGGTCTAACAAAAAAACTAAGAGTAAAGTTGGGTTTCTATTAAAGAAACAAAGGCTGTTTCTCTTGTAGTACGAGAAAAACACTTATACAAACATGCTGAATTCAGTATTCAAAAATGCTGGATTCAGCACATCACGCAGCACTAAGATTTGTAACTAATAATGTAACTAATTAATGTAATTTGTAACTAATGTAACTAAGGGCAGCACTAAGACGTTTTTACACCATATATTGTAGAAATAAAACACTTTACACACAAATGTCAAAAAAGTTACTCAAATCAATGACTGGTATTAATAAAGATTCATTCTTACAGATCATTAACTAAAAAAAGTTGGTTTAGTGTTTAGTTACTCTTTAAGGCCATACTTTGTAAACTGCCTCCTTACTTATGCTCTCTTTTGACTATTAAAGTCACTACTAAGAAATGTAATCTTAGATCATGTGGGCAAATCATGTATGAAATCCTACGAACGCAAACTGTCTTCGGTGAAAGTGTCTTCAAAGTTTTTACACCGTTTTCCTGGTATAAATTGCAAAATCAGCTAAATTTTGACTGTTTTCTGACAATGACTCAACTTAAAAGGAGGATAAAGGAGTAGATGCACATGTACTGTTACTGAGAGCTGCTGGTGATTATGTTGAGATTATGTTATATTGCCAAAATGTACTTTTTTTGTTTGTTTTGTTTTTTTGTCAAATGTTTGTACAGTATATGCATTTTGTTAATATGGAACTATTTATTCTGCTTACTTGGCCAGGACTCCCTTGAAAAAGAGATTCTGAATCTCAATGGGACTTTTTCCTGGTAAAATAAAGGTAAATAAAATAAAATGTAGAACTAACATTAATAAAATAACTTTGATTTGAGCCATTTATGTAAATTAAATTATTGTTACACTGTAAAAAAATATTGATGGTTTAACTTAAAAAAGTAAGTAACATGGTTGCCTTAAAATTTTAAGTTGATTGAACTGGAAAAAGTGAGTTAATACAATGAAGGAGATTCATTTAACCATCATAAACTCAAAATTATATGTTATCTAAACTAAACAAATTATTTAAGTTGATTTGACAAAAGAAAAAATGTTGTGATTACTACACTGTAAATTTTTGTTGTTGTTTTAACTTAAAAAAGTAAGTAACCTGGGTTGCCTTAAAATTTTAAGTTGATTGAACTGGAAAAAGTGAGTTAATACAATGAAGGAGATTAATTTAACCATCAGAAACTCAAAATAATAAGTTATCTCAACTAAATAAATTATTATAAAGTTGATTTGACAAAAGAAAAAATGTTGTGATAACAAATCTTGAAAATATTTTTGACAGTGTAATTATGTGAAATAAAATGATACAATAAATGATGAGAAGAATTTCATGAGACCAGCCTTGGATTTGATTATTGACCAACTGTTCAAGTGATTAAAGTCTTAATGTTTCTGACCTTTAATTCCTCTTGTAGAGTGACTCCTGTCTTCAGAGAGCCCTTCACCATCTCATGTGTGACTGGAAATTTGTCTGGGATTTCCATGCACTTCCTGATCATGACAGGATTGCAGCCGTTCAGAAACTGATAGCCGAACATGTAATCCTTACTCCAGTCTGGCTTCACTTTCTCTGTCCAGATTTCAAAGGGGAAAATTGAGTCGACTGCAAAAGGCTTTACATGTATGAACAAAAATGTGCCTTTGTGTTGTTGGATTCCAAGAACAATTGTGTTTTTTGGATCTATAGATGTTTAAACTAAGAAAACATACAAACATTGACAAAGGAGGACATAATACATACCTTGTAGAGTGCTGATTTTAAACCCTTCCAATATCATTTCAAAAAATGTAAAGTCGTTCCAGGAATAAGCGCGAGCTTTAATTTTGTCAATAAGTGTATCCACAGCCCTGAAACAGAATGTATACTGTATAATTATAGACATGAACACTATTTACATAAATGACAGATCCCCCCCAAAACTTACACTTTCATGACATTGACATCAAAGTCTTTCGTTTTTTGCCAATCAAACTGAAGTTCAGGAGGAATTTCACCCTCTATGCTCTTAGGGTAGCCTTGGCACCACTCAGTCCACCTTCAACAAGAAAATTGAAATTAACTTGTACAGTTACACTGTCATGATGTTTGGTTAGTTTCACTTTCATGGACTATTAGTTTGATTATGGTCAGTTTTCCTGTTTTCTTTGTTTCTATGGGCACTGATTCTATCATCACACTTTTTACTCTTTTGGTTCGTTATCTTGTGTTTATATGCTCTCTGTTTTCAGTTCCCTTACTGTCCAGTACTTTTTGTGAACAGCACATAGTTTGTTTATTGAGTTATTAAATAAATCTTGTGTTATTTAGATGCTTATTGACATTACTTCGTCATCTTTGTGTGGACTAACATGACATCCACCAAGATTTAAATTTAGATTAAGATTTATTCTTCTGAGAAGGTCCTTCTTAACAGGCAAGCTCAGTCAATTCTGCACAACTCGTACAGTGGAGCACCAAATAATTCAGTTCTTATCTGTATTATCAAATATTTTTTGTGCCAATTTTTTCATAACAATATACTTAAAATTATATATGGTTTTTTATTCTCTCTTTTTTTTCAATTCAGCAATATT